AATGATGCATCACAAGCAAGTCCCGATTATAACATTATTGAACTTATGAATGAGCTTAGAAAAATATTTATTACTGCCTTAGTGCTAACGAATTGCAATCTTGTAATTCGCATAATGTATTGAATATCATAATGTGATCTACACAAAATAGACAGCTTTATGTTTTTATTTTTAAGTATTTACAAAAATCAAACTGAAAACAACAATTACGTTTAAATATTGTCAAATAGATTTAGCAGCACAAAAGTGGTTAGTTGACACAAACTCTCGCAGATAATGATGGAAAGCAGTTTATAATTGCTTTGTCAGATGTACTTTGGTATATAGATATGTATGATAAAACAAAGCTACAAAAACGAAACTTCCACATATCTCAACTATTTCTTGAGTTTCTTGATCGAGCGAATCCTGAGTCATATAAAGAAGCCAAACTATTATTTAACGCAAATAAGCTTAATCTTTACTATTACTGTATTTACTTATTCCTTATTTCACATTATTATAGATATAATCAACTAATTTTAACTAGCTATATGATGTATTTGATAATTTTGTAATCGTAATTTCTAATTATACAAAATATTTACTTAATAAACTGCATCAAATTATGAAAGCAAAATTCCTATTAGAAGTATTGAATGAACAACATCAATAAATATTTATGAAAAAAATATATGGATTGATTCATATAATAAAAAAAATATAAAAAACTTAAAGATTTATTACAAAGTTACCCTTCATGAAAGCCTGTCAATCTCGAAGAACATCTACTAAAAGATTCAATACAAGTATACAATTTTAATATTATTAACCACTAGATCTGGTTCATTTCACCAAAAATCAATTCATCAACAATACGATTCACTAACTGACCAGCAAGTTGTTTTTTTAAAATTATACTAATCTTAACTCTAATTCTAGCCTGACCTTAACGACAATGACCAGAATTACTTTGTCAATGAAATGATTGTCAGTGAATCATATAGTCAGTGAAGTGACCTTGTTAGTGAATTGAATATTAGTAAATCATATTGTCGGTAAATTGATTGCTAGTGAAATAAACAGAACCATATAGCACACAGGGTCTTATTCAATAATCCTATTTTTTTTAAATAAAACACCTTGGGTATTGTGTGAGAAATCAAATACTATACTATATTTTTTAAATTATGTATATAAAAAAATAATAAATTGATACTATATTGCAAATAGTACAGTACCGGACAGTCTAAGATATAGATTTTTTAAAAATAATATAATTTGGCAAAAAATTATTAAATACAAAAACCCTCTTACAAATTAATAGTTTGTAATCAAAACTATATTTTTGTAAGAGGATTTTCTTTTATTTTTATTTTTAACAGTGTTATAATAGTTTAAACATTGTCTATTTTATATATAAATTAAAATTTTGGCATCTAATTTATATGTAGATTTTTGTATTACATTAGTTGAACCAATCAAAATTAACTATAAAATTCCAAATTTGGCACTTTTTAGTAAAAAGTTGATATTTTATACTGCCTTCACTTAAATTTGGCACTTTTTTAATAATAAAATAAAAGTGGATATCTTAGACTGTCCGGTACTGTATATACAAACCCTTAACATAAATCTTACTGATTTTTAGGCAACGACTACATTTTATTCAAGGTCTTTCATATGTATTTATATTTAAGATTGATGAATACTGATATAGTTCTGAAAATAATACCTATAATATTATATTCATTTGAAAAATTGAAGATAATACTGATGAATCAAAAATAGTAAAAGAAACAACATGCATTATAGGAGAATTACAGAATGATGCACCTAAATATTATTTATGTAAAATATGAGCTAATTATATATACATCTGTAATCTACTATTGCCCAAAATTAAACCAGTACCATTGAGAACTATTTACTGTATGTTAACCAGTGATATGTCAGCCGCAGAGTTTACTAATATAAAAAAAATGAATGACTGTATAAAACTTGCATTAGAACTCAGTGATCTTGATATTACTGTTGATCTTCAAAATCATAATAAAGGAAGACCAGAAAAATATGATAAGTTTTAAGAAGTGGCAGCTCGTTTTCTTACAAGTAAAGCTACCAATCTAGTAACCGCTATTGATGAAAGATGTTATAACCTGATTACGTACCTTTTAGTTGCTATCTCAGTAAATAATCTTCTTCAGCAAATTGAATATGAATGTCTACTTGATATGCTAGTTCCTAGTACTCAATGACTCAAATTACAGTTCTGGCTAAAAAATCTAACATACTTAAGTAGCATACAATATACAGGTCACTTACTTCTCAAATTTATAGTTCAATCTTAACAATTATGAGCTAATTATCCAGATGCTCATTATGTGTCTGCCCTATTTCATTATAAAAAAGAATTTGCAATTAAATTTTATAATACTACAATATTTGCTTTTTTAGACGATAAACACTGATACAAGATCGGAGAATCTAGATATCCTGTAGCAGCAGTCAAAAGGGGAAAACAAGTGATAGTAAAAAAGGACATGACATTTACAGTAAGCGATCATGATTTTATAAAGACAGAGATGGTATCTAGTGTGACAATGCTCTGCAGTATTTCCAAAACAATAGACAGTGATTTTTATGCTAGAGAAGTAAATATTAGATTAAAAGATCCAATTTTTCAACCTTCTTCTCCATTACGCCATATAACAGAGCTTCATAATATTTTACTAATACGAAAACAATTAACCTCATCTTGTGTCTTTATACAGATAGTGGCCCCAACTACTAATATACATATATGTGAGTTCAGTTATCTTACATCTGTCTATTTTTAGCATTCAACCTTGATTATTTTGTAGCAGTGAGGACTCCACTTTTGCATTCCTAGAAGAACCTCATCAAACGTATAATATCAACACTCAACCTTGGATTGCAAAGTATTGGGCTGATGCAAACAGAAATAGATGAAAAATATGAGAAACTTATTAAAAAAGCTAATTTAATAAAAGATATTTGAGAAATTGCCAAATCAAATCCTGCCTTAAAAGATGAACTTATAAAAAGTATTCAAGAACCAATTCATCTTGTCATGAAATATTTGAACAGCAATCTTTAAAAGGTGTTCTATTTGAAATATTTGATGCTGTAACTAATGAAGATATCCAACAATTTTGAGAAAATATCTATTTAGTTGATGATACTATTAATAATTATGAAATAAAAAATATAAACCAACTAGTAAATATATATTAATTTACAATTAAGCAAAATTCATAAGTCAAATAATACTGTTCTTCATAGCCACACTTGAAAGAATTTTTTGATCACTGCTGTATTGCAAAACATTATTTTTTTACTATAAAAAAATGCAGTGAAAATACTTGTCTGATTTGCCAACCTCCCCAATATTCATGCGAGATCTTCAGCCAACTTCATCATCTTTCTAATTTAATTCCCGGTGTAGACTTACACTATAAATCTTTTGAAGAGCTTTATAGTACAATTACAACAGAAAAATACAGATCTTTGTATCAAGAACGAACACCCATTACTAAGTCTAATCAAAAAAGAGAAAAACAAAAGGGAAAAGTAAATCATGATTGCATAAATTTTGCGAATGATAGACATAATATTTTTTTTTGTATGAAGGGTAACAATAACTCGTCTGTTTTAGTAAACTTGAATGCAAGTTCATAGTACTGCAAATTATAACTTTATTTTTGGAAGGTATATATTTACAAACACAATTTATTAAATGCTACTATGTTCACTAAAACTTTAACAGAACAGTTCTAAGCACATTGTATTCTTTTGGCTTTACTGAAAGATTGTTTTCTATAACATTTAGTTGAACTGTTCGTATTATTGCAGTTTTTACATACTGGTCATATGCTCTTTGATGTAGATAGCTCAACTTCAAGACTTCCACAGAGGTAACAAACATCTGAATAGATTTTTGCAAAGTAATATAGTTTTTTAATCAAGAAACTACAGGTTCAAGAGTTATTAACAAAGACACGTTTAAAAATTTTTCGAATAGGATTGTCAATTTCATTCAGCACATTCTTGTTTTCTTGTTCTTTATGATAAAAATCGTTTATTTTATTAATCTTATCATTATCTTGATCGCTTTGTTCACTTTGTGTGCTATTGCTATTTTTATCACTCTTATCATTCTCATCATTCTTATCATTCTCATCATTCTCATGTTCTTTATAAAAATGGCTAGGACCAGCAATTAAACTTTTATTATCTTTGCTATCATTATATTTATCAAAAGATTC